TGTGCTATAGTTAAGATGACTTTTTTATAGTTAAGATGTCCAAACCAGGACATTTTTGAGAGTGAAAGTGGGTAGTATGAATAACACTGGGATAATAGGCATAGCCCAGAACTGTCTTGGCCAGACTGGGATGTCTGGTTTGCTGGTGAGGGGTCCAGCTGCTAGGCCTGCTGACTTCTGAAGGCAGGAACCATCCTCATTCATCGGGGTGTCCCCAGCACCACCTGGTTCCTGGAAGATACTTAATGCCTGTTAGTTGGTTAAATGGGTGATCTGAGGGTAGGGAGTGCCAAGCAGCCCTTTGAGGGCTCCCCAGGACACTGAGGGGGAGCACTGCTAACAGCCTAGTTTCACCTTTGACTCCTGCCATATCTGAGTTTTCACTGCAGATATTTCCTTCCTGTGCCGTACCCTTTGCCCTTTGTATTCAGTGCTTCGGATCATTTCCGCGATGAGGGCCCAGCAGAGGTGCCGGCCTGCACCGTACCTTGGTTTTCTTTTCACTTGTCTTCCTCATGGCAGGTGTGGGCATCTATTGGTCAGTGTGGGAGTTAGTGACCAGTCCGTGTTCATGGGCTTAATAACTAATGGGTCCCAAAAGCCTTAGAAAAGGCAGCTTGGTCACCATGGACCCCCTTTCTCTAGCAGGCTCTTGTTGTACAACCTCACCATCTGACCTTTGGTTTAATGAGGACTACTTGGGTTTTCTTCCTCAGAAAGGTCCTTGAAGAGCCAGGGAGACCTCAAGAGTTGCCTGGTTGGCTGGGTGTCACTCCTGAGCATCTCAGTTTTCCCATCTTCAAGGCCCCTGTGAAAAGACGCAAAGTACGAAGGGAAGTTTATCTAGGCTGGAGCTTAGTTACCTGATTATCAAAACTCACAGGTGTAGAGTTACATATAGTGACTCCTCCTTGGTTTTCTGAGGCCATATCACTATGGAAGTAGATTGCCCCATCTTACTTCCGAGGAGTGGCTGGTGGGTTTGAACCGCCAGCCTTCTGGTTAGCAGTCAAATGCCTTACGCACTATGCCACCCTGTTGAAAACTTCTCACTTTCCTAATGACTGTTATGGTGGCTATGACACTGGGCTGGGCAGTCCTACTCTCCTGCTTTTCAGAATTCCCCAGGGAGCTGGAGAGGTAGGGCAGGAATGCGACCTCGTGCACTGCTGAAGGGAGTCCTCTACCTCTGCTGGCCCCGCTCTGGGAACCCACAGGAGCTCTACAACAGGAAACGCTCCACCTCCCTGAAAGCCACACCTGTGTAGGCAGAACTGCCAGGAAGGCAGGCAAGGCCACTAGTGAGACGCCTTGGGCCGGTCTCCCAGTCTGTAAAATGAAAGGATTGGACCGATGGTCTCTGAGTTAACTGGTACTGGGTTCCAAACCACCACCAGGCTGCTCAGCCAAGCAACCCCAGGGATCTGCATGGGGACTTTAAGGAGAACCCCTCTTCTCTCTTCCACTTTTGTTTTCTCACATCATACACGGGATCCAAGAGTCCCAGCCAGACTTTTATCAGGAGTTAGGTCTTTTCCCCCTACTTGCCCTTACTTATCCCCCTACTTACTTATCTTGGAGATAAGAGACCAGGTACCAGCAGAGGCCTGGGCCTGACACTCCTAGATGAGCAATTATGTCTTATCTGAGGTATATCCCAAATGACTTTTCTATCTCCCCCATGTCTTCCTACACCTGTGGAAACAGGGTGATAGTGGTGGTGGTTGTGGTTGAGTGGGATGATGTGTCCACAGAGAAGAGGTCTGGCTCTTATGTTTTTCAGGTATTTTATTAAGAATAAGGCATATGATAGCCACCCCTAAAGCACAGGGCTCTATTTCTGTGGGTGAGTGAATACACTCTGAAAAGCATTGGATTAAAAAGCGCAGCCAATAAAGAATTTGGAGCAGAATCCCTCTGCCCTGCCCACTGGGCTTCTGGTGAGTGGTCTTGAAGCCCTGTATCTCCCTCCAAGACTGGCACCTTGGGGAGAGTGGGTGCTTAGAGAACCTTGGGGCTCTCTGCACCAAGGAGATGTTCCACACCTCCTCCACCAGGGCAGTCTCTATCCTGCTGTTTGTTTAGGGAAGGGCTCCTCCATTTTGGCCCTAGACTGGTTCCCCAAACTGCAGGTCATTGTGGGTAGGATATTGGGGGCAGAGTAGTCCTTTGGTAGGCTTCCATAACAAGGGGACCCTACCTGCAGATCTCCTTCCTGAGTCTGTCCACACTCAGCCCATAAGCATCCTTGTCAACACCCCCACGTGGCTATAGGGCTTCATGAAACAGATGAGAGCAGGGAGGAGAAATAATCCTTTCCCTTCTTAGTCCCCAGACCTTCAGGGGCTGGCGGGAGTTCCTTTTGGCCAGGTGGATCCCCCAGCACTAGCCCCAGACCAGTCTGGTGGAGAGTGAGAACTGGAAGCTGAAGGTAGGGCCTGAGGATGAGGAGTTTTTGGTGGTGGAGGCCCAGGGCAATTGACTCCACTTTTCAACCCCATTCCTCTGCAATGATCCTGTTTCAAACCTAAGAGCAGGCAAGATCCGGGAAATCTGGTCTACTATTTTCAAGGGGTGGGGGTATTTCTGGTAAAATTGGAACCCTGTATCTGCCTCAGTCCCTGCCCCCGGTTTGTTTGGGGGTTTGTATTATTTCTCTTCCCAGGCTCCCCCTATGACTTCCATGGAGAGTGAATGAGTCAGCCACCCCAGCACTCAGCACCTTTCATCTGGGTAATTTCCAAGCACCCCACAATTACGTGTCATTATCTCTGATTGCTGGGAGAAGGACAGGAATAGAGAGGTGCTGATGGGGCCACTTGGGCAAAGGCAGGCAGGCCACCAGAGGATCTGTGGAACAGCGGTGTGATAAGGGCTCCCAGCCAGACACCCTGGGTACCCAGGAGGGAAGGGAGAAGAGGGCTATTGCTATCAAGCTGGGGGGAGGCCAGGAGGGCTTAGCTATGGCTTTTCGTGGGTGGGCAGGTGGAAAAAGTATTTCATTATCTTTGCAGAAAAAATGATATAACCTTACATTCACCTGAAAAGTGTGGTTGTGGGAAGGAGAGGAGGGTCTATGCAGAAAGAGACCCTTCCCTTCCCTTCCCACAGTCCCCTGGGCCCCTTCAAGTGATTGTATCCAACAGAGGAAAAGAGACCTCCTTACAGATTGTGAAAGGTGAGGCAACAGGACTGGGGACACAGGAGTCCTGGACGCTTGAGGGGAGGTGGGCAAAAGAGGCACAACCACAGAGACCTGGTGGGGGGAGGCAGAGCAAGGACCCCAGGCCACCAGTGTGGCCCGAGTTAGTCTGCAGAGCACTGTCTTCCCAAGGGAACCCCCACCTTGGCCATCTGAATCCCAGGAGCTGAACACTCCAGGCCCGGTTATTGCTCAGTGGACAGCAGTCCTGAGGGAGGCCAGCTGGGCAGGGGTGGCACGTTGACTGGCCTTGGAGTGTGTTCTCTGGTTTCTGGTCCTTGCCGATTTCTTACTCCTTCCAACCTATAGAGTAATGAGGGTACAATTGGGGGTTTTCCCTCTTTCTCAAGGGGGTCATGAGAGGAGTAGAAATCTCAAGACTGACCACCTCTCCTATCCCTGGGTGACACGCATGATGCCTGGCCTCAGCCAGGGTCAGGACCTGCCAGGGGTGGGGTTTAAAGGCCTCCTTCTGAACCATTTCCTCCCCCTGGCAGTCCCTGGAAGAACTCACAGGCACTTACGACCAACATAGGACCAACAGAGATGACACCGGGCTGTAATGGTTTCTTTTTCTATAGGCTGGGCTTTGGGTAGGGGCATAGAGCCAGACCACAGTGCACTTCCTGCCTTTGGTAGTGAGAGGGGAGAGAAAGGGAGTCAGGAGGTTGGGGGATTCCTCTTTCCCTTTCCTCCCACTCCCTGATCAAGACCACCCCCAATCTAGACAGTGAAGTTCTGCTAGGACTGAAACATCCCTAGAGTAGGAGGCAGACTAAGGGCTAACCTGTGACCTGTCCCACTCTCAGCAAATCCAAACTTCTATCAGTAACAGCCACTTCCGAGAGGCCAGGCCCTTCTTTCTGTCTCTGGGTGCAGCCATCCAATTAGGAAGCTGGGTAAAATGAGCATCCATAAACAGGACTAGAAATGTTCCCAGGGCAATCTCAGGCTCCTAACCACCTGCTGAGGTGGGGGAAGGCAGCTCCAGACTTTCCACAAGCCCTAGGGGCAGTCCAACCTCACCTTACCCAGCAGTGCCTAGTCTTCCGTATACCTTCTTACCCAGGAAGAACTGAGCTGTAAACAGTTCCAGAGCAGGTTCTGCCACCAAACCTATTCAGTAATCCTAAGGGTCTACGGATGCTACCTTCCAGTAGTTCTAACTTCAATCGGGGCCGCGCCATCCCCACCAGGAACTCAGGGAAGCCTTGTCTTCTGAAGTGTATGGTGCCCATCTGCAAGGACCTGTCAATCAGGCAGGGAGTGGAGGCTTCCGCATAAACAGTGCAGGCCCTAGGCCCCCGCTAGCCGCTCTGCTAGAGGAAGGCTTGGCGGGAAGGGCAGCCGCGCGGGGATGGGTGTGTGAGTGATGCCTGGAAGGCCTAGGGGTGCGAAGTGCCACTCAAAGTTCCTTTCCGTAGGCCAGTCCAGCCTTCCCCCTCTTCCCCCAATGATTGTCAGCTTTCTGGGCAGAGCGTCACCCCTGCCCCGTCCCCTCCCAGTAGCTGGGTGGGGACCAGATAAGGATCTGGACTACGAGTTCTACCAAAAAGGTGCAATCGCTCAGCCCTGCGGAGGATTTCCTCTCAAGCAAGGAAGAGCTCTAAGCATCGGAAACTTAGGGAAATACAACAGGTGGGGGCGGGCCGCGGGGGTGGGAGGAGCTGGGACGGCTTCCGCGGGCTCCCGGGAGGAGAGGCCGGCCGCCCTCAGTCCCGGGGCATGCCTGCGGGGCGCAGCTGCATCCCAGCTGGGGTCCGGGTGAGCCTCCGCCCTTCCCCCGCCCGCCTCGCGCTTACTCCGCCTCCCCAGGCGCTCTGGGCGGGCTAAGCGCAGCGGGCGGGCTTGGGCTGGGCCGAGACTGCAAGTCGGCCAGGTCCGGGGGCTCCTGGGTAGGGGGCTGGCGCGGGCTGCGGCCGCTGGGCCGCGGGGGCCTCCGGGCGTAGAGGAAGAGTGCGGGGTCGGGCATGGGGTCGGGGTCGTCCAGGGCACCGGCCGCTTGGTCCCAGGCGGCCCAGTCCCGGCTGGGGCCCTTGGCGGCGGC